ATTAAGAGTCCACTGAAAACAGTAAAAGTGGCCAAACATTCAATATAACTGGTAAAATCAGTCCACTGCCAGAAGTAGCGAATATCGAGATCTAAACAATGATTACAAGGATTGCAACTATTATTAAGTGATTAATAGATTGTTCTACACGTGTATGACAAAGATTGATAAAAACGGTTTCAAATGCACACATAAGACGAAAAGTAAAGTGAAGAACAGATAAAAGGGAGGAAAAGCCGAAACCTACCAAGAAACTTTTTTGGCTTCAATTCACAAGAACTTCCATCACTACCACTACTATTCTCTGAAATTAGTGTTCATATGATATAAGAATTTTGTTCATTCAATGGATGCAAAGATATGTAAAGTATAAGGAGTGAAGAGGAGGTAATGGATAAGAGTCTGGAAACGGAATATTGAGTTGGATTTATGAGAAGTTGTAATAATTACTTAAATCAATGAAATAAACTGAACCCGATTTATCTAACATGTAATTCATGCATTTCTTATCATTAATTAAGTGGTTATTAATTGGATGTGAACTCAGATTGTCTGTTGGAAAGTCAAAAGTCAAATGCAATCGTCAAAAGTCGTCAAATTCAAGCATTCAATTCAATTTGGCTTTAAATTAACGTTAAATTAATTAAATTTAAATCAAAATCAAATACAAATTAAATGAATACCAATAAAGAATCGGTTTTTACTGGGAATCAATTGATTCTTATGGTTGACCCGAACGCATAGCTCTATCATCAAAATCATGGCTAAATTCATGATAATTGACTGCAGAAGAAGGGGTGTCTCGAAGTGACGGCCAAACCTACGAGTGGTGTATTTATATGTGAGACCATTGAGTGGACAATGAGTGGACAAAACATTGAATACCAGAAGAGAATCCTAAGAATATTGGCTAAGAGTAGAGCCAAACAGACATAAGTAGAGAAGCCGTCGGCGCTCTCACTCTCTTTGATTTGCTTGTATTGAGGAATATATGGTACGACACCACCGAAGATGATACCTATCACACAGACATACAGTGAGACTATGACATGGATTCACTCATTCATTGGTCACATACCCGCCGATGCCATGTATGACAACAACTGATTGAAAGTCAATTCATACCATTCATCGGTCACCCAATCCATTGTGACTGCAATTAATGGGTTCTTGTATTGAATCGATGCACGGATTTATGAATCAATTTATTTCATAATTAATGCCAATTAATGGACACAAAGAGATTCAGTGATTTTGTGAGATATTCAATGAATCTAAACAATAAAATGGTTGGAAGTGATGATCACTTGAGGACGTATTGCTGTCAATGCAACCAATGATAACATATTGTGATTACTTAACGATAAGCGATAAAAAGTAAACACTTTTCATGTTTAAATGCTTAGCAATGGATAGCATTGCAGTGAATGTTGCAGTCATGTGCTCTAAGCCATAGATAACAACATTGGAGTCTATTTTCAATGTTTTCAATCGCTCTTGAGATGTATTGTATCTCCTTTTTGAAGCAAACATTGAAAGTCAAGCACTTCTCGTATTACCGATACAAATCTTATCAATTACTGTACCATTCAATTCATTTAATGTTTGAATATTTAAATTTAAATTGTGATTAAAATACAGTTTTCTAATGTATCTGTTCTTTGACCTCAACTTACTTCAAGCAACTCTATCACTAACTGTAAAGCTTTCTGTAATGTTATAACTTATAAGTTATAAGTTTGCAAAAACTTTTAGAACTTTTCGAAAACATTTTCTAATTATCAAATTATAAAGATATCTCGATTCCAGTATTGTACTAACAAGTCAAATGGTATATGGTCACTTTCTCTGTGATATTTGTGTGCATTATTTGCAGCAATAAATAATTTATATGAATGAATGTGAGTGAATGCAATGAATGGTGTTTTGGTGTGAATAAGTTAGAGGAAAGCAAGGGAAGGGATGTAAATGAATGAGAATTATTAATACATTTTAGATAATCAGAAGTCACGTAATTTGAGTGCTCTATAGTGTATGAGCCGAGAGATAGGCTTACAATCACTTAATGATGATTTTGGGCGCAACTTATCTCCACT